TACTTTCATTCATATACAAAAATATTTCAAATGATTGCATATATTTGGGATGATTAAAAAAAAAACTGAAAGAGCCGTTACCATAATGATTGAATTCGAGAGTTAAGTACGTGAGTTAAAATAAATACGAGTAATTGTATTTTTTTATTGCATGGAATTTACCAGTAACTTTCGGAAAGTAACCAGTGGAAAAATCTAAATTATAAATTTCAGGAGGTTTCACAAATTCTTCTAACGCCATAAACAATTTATTTATACCTTAAAGCTGTTAAAATTTCAGGCTCCCATAACTTGTCGTGTATAAGGAAAAAACGATTAAGCTTAAAAAAAGCAGTTTTAGATAACGGTTAATTTTAGCAGCCATTTTGTATTTTTAATTTTCAATTATGCTGTACTGTAGTAGAAGAAAGCAGCCACTACTTTACTGTATTTACAGAATTTCAAAAATGTTTGTGGTTTCATTACAATAAATAGTAAAAAATTGCATTTTTAATGATTTTGGGTGGCTATAAATTTTAAGGGGGGCGGGGGAAATATTCTTCTACGAAAATAAGTTTCCGTTAAAGGATACGTTACAGAAACTCTTTACTTATTCTTCTGCGGAATAAGTAAAGATCTACGTATATATGAAATTTCAGCTTTATATCTTTATAGAACTAGAAGTTTTGCAAATATGCCCGCGGACCGACGAATAGTGTATTAATGAATAATTTCAAAGTATTGGTAAAAGAACAAATCTGTATTTTTAATTTAAATTTGCTTAATAATCTTTAATATTTTGCATAAATTGCAACATTGAATAAATTTTATTTTATGCAACAATTTCTTACTGAAAGTAAAAAGTTTTTTAATATCTTACAGTTGACTTAATAAAATTAAGTTTCCGTCACTTTTAAAAGCAAGAAGCAGAAGAAAGAAAAAATAATTTCCTCTTTTACTAATTATTTTACTAATTCTTGTCTCATTTTTTTGTAAACTGTCTTGACATTTAAACCTTTTTCTCTTATTATTATTAAGGCTGAAAAAAAGTGGATCGTTTTTTTTTAATATCTACTAGATTCATTAGAATTTCTGATAAGGAGTTTCCTAAATGGAAAAAAAAAGTCAGAAAGGTCGAAGAAATTTCTGTAAGATGTTGAAAAAGAATAATGAGTACAGCAATATTTTAAAATTACCAATAGAGAAACAAAAATTAAAAGAAAACACAGTGTAAATAATATCTGCAATTTTTCTTGTTCTACTAAATACACTAGTAAGTCCTAGTGAGTGGTGGAGTATCATGTTGCAAGGTTGAAATTGTTGCCAGTTTCACATCCCGTATTTTCAAACAATTCACTGTACGGGCTCGCCTGAACTTAATATGCGACTAGTAAGTATAAACCAATTGGAGCAATATTTTGTGTTTTGTTAGAAATCTATATTGGCAGGAATAGATATAGATTCACAAGTTGTGGTATCAGAAATTTTATCTGATTTTAGTTTGATTTAGCTTAGATTTTCGAGTTTCGATACGAAATACGATTCGGTTAAGAAAAAACTTGTATAACAGTTTAATAACATTTTTTAAATTGCAATAAGTATAACAGTTTTACTAATTAAATTCATATAAATAAGTTTTAATCAAAATAGCAGAAAAATGTTAGTAACAATTTTTGCACCCATGTAGATTGTAGATTGTAGATTTGTATAACGGGGGCAACAGTGCACCGCGATCGTATGGCACCTCACAGATGGCCTGGCACCCAACACAGTGTGACCCGGTTGCATCTGCCTAACTCATTGAGCTTCTCAAGACAGCCCCATACTGCCGCGGAGGATACTGAAAACGAGTTCAGCGCTCCGACCGCAGCCCGGTTCCTGTCATTCCCGGGTCCAAACATTATCTCCTGTCTCCGATACCTCCTTTCCAGACTCAACCGCACTCATAGTCTGATAGGTATTCAACCTGGAATATTTACTGCTTCCGTATCAATCGAGAATATTAAGAGAATACAATCATTTACTCTCCTTGTCTTTCTTTCATTTTTTCTCATTTCAGCTTACCTATTTTTAAAATTATAGTTTTCTTCATTTTTACCTGTTAAAACTTTTATTACAATTTTTTGTTCTTTTCTTCTCTTCTTTTTTCATTACCTGCCCGAACAAAACTTTTCAGTGTTTTGTTCGGGCGGCATTTTTTACATTTTTATTTTTTATATACAATGTATTCGAATTTCTTATCCCTTCATTTAAATATATTGCTATCAACCAATATCATTTTATTCTGTTGACTGTTGTATCGCGAATAAATTATTTTACTATATTATTCTACAGCTTATATGAAGAACAGATGATTGAAAGGGAATGGTTAAAGGCTATTAAATAATGAGATTTTAATATGAAGAATCTTTGAATATGCATGAACCACAGAAACAAAATATTTTAATCAGTTAAAAAGAGTGAACGGAACAGAAAGACGGGAGAAATTAAAAATGAGAGTTTATAGTAAAAATACTAGTAATTTTTTACTCACCTATTTGTGGTTGTTAATTTTTCTAAGATAAAATTTTGAAGGTAAACTTTTTTAATTAATAAATTGTAGATAATAGCTGTAAGATGATAATCAAAAGAACGTGTTAAAATTTTTAATGATGAAAAGTGTTGCTATTCAGAAAAGAAAAACGTAGACGTTCCTACAAAAAGAATAATTTTTCACTTACTCAACCATGATTTTTCTCTTTCTCTCTTGTTATTCTTCATCATTATAATAATTTTCTCTTTTTTCTGTTTTATTATAATTATTATAATAAAACCAGCTATTTTGCAAGTTAAAATTTGAATTGCCACCAAAAAAAAATTACGTCTTTAGAACATCGTTAAATATCAATGATTGGTATGTCATAAGGTCTTCAATTTCTGTCAATTATATCACAGCCAGGGAGTACATTGATACCGTTCTCTATAATTGGTTGTGTTTCATGGAACGAAAGAAGAAAGGTGTATGAACGAAACTATTTCTTTAGAAATCTAAATTATAGCTATCAGGCTATTATTTTATTGAAGACTGGATGTATAAGAATGAGCCGATTTTAGTAACTGAGTGGGTCCCCTAAACCAATTATTCTACTACAAATGTTTCTATAGGTTGTAAGGTCTATAAGATAATATCAGGTGCTATTCCGTAAAATTAAAAATAGAATTTAAGAAAAAACGAAACTGATAAAGAGAAAAGGAGAACGTAAGCTCATCTCATGACCTCCTTGTAAAAAACCTCCTTTTTTAATCTTCTTCTATCTGATATGTTAGATTAATATTAAAATTTTAACATGTTTTTCAAAATAAAAGTATAAAATTCTTTAAGTTATTAGTATTTACCATACAAACGTTCATTATAGTTAAGAACAACAATTATTAACGATGTAAAAAGTTTCCTATTTTGCTAACAATGCTTATATTCTGTTGCTTAAAGCATAAATGGATAATGCACATACCTATACAAAATTACGACATAATGGTATAATTTTCATGATTACATAATTGGTTGTACGGAATTGTATACTTTTCTTAATACTTGTATATTTTGTAAATAAATATGATAGTAAAAAATTAAATATGGCGTTGTACTTTAAGAATATTCTATATATGAACAAGATTTATTACATTCTTTATAAATATGTTCAAGAATTATGTTTCTAGTAAGTAATTATGAAAGATACAACAAAATTTTCTTAATAAACTCTAAAGTTATTTTAAGTTTTTATAATTTTGTTAACAAATGCAGTGTACATGCTAGCATAAATTTCATAATTTTTAATGATATTTAGTTCATAAATAATTAAATAAATTTTAAACATTATGCTAGCATAATCTATTCAAAATATTGAGCTCGTTTAATAACAGCTGAAGTAATTTACTAGCATTTAAATATTAACCAGTTGAATCTAGACAACAAAAATTAAAGTATTCAGCTGACCAAATCAAATGGGTTAAAATGCAATTAATTTTGAGGGTAAAATGGCAATTAATTAAATAGAAAAATTATAGCCTACACAAGTATTCTACTTATGGAACGTGAAAATGTTAGAAAATTCAATTGCCCCACATGACACGTCTTATTCTGGTTCAACTTTATATTATGTACTTCGGTTCAATTGATATTTTTCCCGAATAAATTTATTGATATGGTAAGAAATTTTTATTTACCAAATTCCCAATAAAAAAAATCAAGGTAATAACAATAAACATTATTTCCTGAGTATTCAAATATATCTGTATAGAGTTTGTCAAAAATTATTAACAAACTGTGCATTACCGTAATTTTAGAAGACTATATTATTTTATGTTCTAATTAAATTGCATATACATCTGAATATTTTAAATGAAGAAATTTAAGAATAACCAATTAGATTTTATATCTCATTCAATAATTTTGCATAGATTATCATTGATTATCCAATTGAATGTTACCCTCATAATATTTTATTAAAATTGACTTTGGTAATTAGAGCAAAATCTATGAGTGACAATTAAAACAATTAAACACTAATGGCGATTCGAATTTGTGTCATTTAATATTTAATCTGTAATCATTTGTATGTGTATTTTATATGAAATGAAATTATCATTTCCTTTATAAAGATTGTCAGAAAAGTCATAAACATTTTTATTAATCTATTTTAACAACTAACATTGTAATTTATTTATGTAGGTATTATGTAATTTTAGAATTTAATATAAATTCTATGATTACTTAAAATAAACGAGAATAGCTAGAGTTAATCGTGTCATCTCTCTGGTAGTACCCGAATTGATTGCGTTAAATTAATTCGTTAAGAATTTTATGATAATCACTACATCGCATTACCGGCTCAATGCTACCTATTTTCCAGTAGACGGTTTGATTATATAATATAGTTCGTTTTAAAATTATACTAAATTTGAAGATGTTTAACGGCTGCCACAAGAATTAACGCAATTTTAACGTGTTTTAACGAAAAAAATGACCCTATTATTGAACTCACTTGTGTATAATCACTACTATCTGTTGTCAATCTATAATCTGTAGTTATTACTATCTGTAGTCTGTAGTCAATATCTGGGTAGGTTTGCCTGTATATTAAGTCATATAGTAACTACGGGAATCATAACACTATAACCACTTTAAATCTATTTCTATAGTAATTTAATGAACTTATCTTAATATTTTTCAATTATGATGAATGAACGGATGAACACACATGACTACATATATTATTATTAATGTAACGTATGTGTTTGTATATCACACCGTAATTTCTCAAAATTATAAAAGAAATAGCAAATTTCTAATACCGAATACAAACATATTTTTTAAGGTGATCTCCTTTAATTACTGACAATAAAAGACTCAATATATTAATTATTAATTTTCTAAAATTATTTCTCAAAAATATACTTAACATGAATGAAACCCATAATTTCAGAACCCTTGAATTTTATTATATTCTATATGTACATACTTAACTGTTCTACAATACACATAAATGTTATACATTATATTGTATGGGACATTTTATTGAAGGTTATCAATATTATATAAGTAAATTCTTATATATATACACCTACTTATATTTTTATTTTTGATATTTAATATCGATTTCATAAAAAATAATAAAGAGAATAATAATAACGTAGAAAATTGTTGAAACAATGGAGCCATACTTTTGTATAATACAATTTTTTCCATATATTCAATATGCCTGTATATAACTATTATACTTTGAAGGACATCTTTGAATAAATCCAATTATTTCGTTGTTGTTTTTTTTTCTAATTTTTTTAATTTTACTTAATATCCTTTTTTATACACACATAATTTTCTTTTAAATTTTTTTTTCAATTTTATTAAATGTCCTTCTTTTTTTCATTGTTTTATAAGTGTATTAACAAAAAAGTTATTAACAATAGTCTATTACTATTCAGGTGTTCCAAAGTTTTAGAAAACTGTTATACATTTTATTTTTTTTTTTTTAATTTTCTTTTTCTTTTACTTTGCATTTTGGTGCTCTTCATTTCTTTTTTTTACAAAATTAAAACGGAAGAAAAAAAAACGAGTATGAACAAGGAAAAAAAAATGTCTGAAAACCAACAAGTGTTGCTCTTTGACAACATATGGACAATTAAGAATAAAGTTTTTTACAGCAACAAAACTGAAAAATTGGATTATTGAAAAAAAAATGAAAAAACGTTGATGTCCTTTTTTCGTTCTCTTATACAGAAAGAAAAATTTTCATTCGTTTTTTTCGTTATATTTTTGCTTTTTACCATGTCAGACATTTTTAATATAAATATCATTTATATTTAAATGGCTCTTCCTTTCTCTAATTTATTTATTAAAAATGGCTTACTTAAGAGAATGTTTTATTTTTCAGTTGTTTTATTGAATAATCGATTGTAATGTCTTAATAAGTAATGAAGGTACAGTGTCATACACCATATACTAGTATTTAACATTGTTATACATTATAACATTATTCGTTATATATTGTTATACTCCTTGTTCTGTTTTCCATGCTTTCATTTCTCTGCCCGATATGCATACGTCGATAGTTTTGTTAAATGATAACAGTTGGAAGTTACACTTTATATGATAAATTTAATTTTGTTCTCTATTCAATGGAGAGTAAAAATTCTATATAAAGGTTTTACAAAATCTATTATTTGATCAATTATTTGTTTAGAAACAAGATATTGAACTTGAAACCTACTTAGTCGACCTAACTTGTAGAGCTTTTCAAGAACTTTTTCAACAATATGTCGCTTGACTGTACATTTTCGCTGAAACGGCTAAAAAAGGAGTTTTTTTAAAAACAAAATCCCAAACAAAACTTGTAAAGCTTTCCAATTCCTTTTGTATAATAGTCCACAATATCACATTTTGTAAAATTCTTTTCAACTTCCAGAAGATCTATTTCAAGACCTGGGATTTAACGAGATCTTACTGTATTAAGATCAGTTGTCATACTTCTAATTTTACAAAATTTTAATTAAACTTGATTGGATCTCGTGGATCTCCTAACATGAATTAAGGCGATATAACAAATGGATATCAGGCATGCAATCAAAAATATTACAATTACGGATATTCGAATAGGTTCTCGAGTTTTAACAGCTACTCCTTCAACTGCAATTGCTTGAAGTAGGGTGTGTATTTTATAGTTAACGTTAAATGAACCATAACCATAATTTCTTTTGTTCTAATGAAGAATTTTTTTTGTTTCTTACTGTTATACTAAAGGACGTTTTCTTTTATTATAATTAAGTATATTTGTTGTAATAACTTTTCTTTTCTTTCAAGTATATGCCCTTGAGGACGAAAACAAAAAAAAAAAAATTTTTCTTTTTTGTTATTTCCGCTCTTACTGGAATTTGTCTGCATATTTTCTTTTTTTTTTTTTAATATCATTTTATGCTTTTCTTTTTTTGCTCTTTTTATAAAGGTCATAAAATGATTGGCAATGAAAATCCATAATGACGGACAATAAAAGAATTTGAATGAACATAAATTTTTTATGGTGTTGAATTTAATCGAATATTAGATATTATATAAAATTATAATTTGACAGAGTGTTTCATTTCCAATCATATTTTCGAGTTATAAAATTTCATAAGCATAGATGAATATTAATGATTTAGATCGTAAAAAATATTTTTTTTATTAAAATAAATTAAAATTCTTTAATGGAATTAAAAAAAGAAATGTGTGTTTTTTGGTTTCATGTCTTAATTTAAAAAAAAAATATCGAAGAAAGCCATTTGATTAACAAATAAAATTTAGTCATAAGTTATGCACGCAAAAATTTTGTAATTATGCAAATGTATATTTAAAAAAATTATCAATAAAATTTCAAATATGATTAAATACACGGAAATTCCGAAATCATATGAAAAATGGATAACACAATTCAAACGAACATTTTTAAAATGACATTTCTACATTTGCATTTTTAAAATAAAGAAACTAGCAAAGAGGATCATATCAATGCTTAATAAATAATCTTCCCTTAATTGTTCATCTATTAAGGATCTAGAATCTACAATGTGATATCACAGTATATTTTCCAATTACTAAAGCGCTACTAAACTATTAATTTTTTATTTTATACTCAGCCCCGGATCTACCATCTTTTGAAAAGTAAGCATTTGTAATGGGCACCGGAAAACAGGGGCGACATTTAAATTTTAAAAAATTAAAAAATTTTCCAATTTTTTACATAATGTCTTTTTTTGAAAATTTCTTGTGATGGAAAAAACGTAATTATCGGGGCGCACTTTTTGAACACAGAGTAGGGCGTCGAACAAAATAAACTCGGGTCTGTTTATATTGCCACTTCCAGTATAAATTTATTGCACTTTTATCTTCTAAAAAAAAACAAAAAGGTACACGCATCAGTAGAATTCGAAATTTTTTATGATTGTGAACAAAGAAAATGTCAACTTTAATATTGTAAATGAAGTTCTTTGAAAACCAAAATAAAAAAAGGTCTTTAACTTCTAAATGCATTTTAATCTTTTACTATCTCTCGCAGGACATAATTTTTATAAACTTATTAAAATAAGGGCATAAAATCTCATCATATAACATGGGAATTTAATTAAACTATAAAATTATTATAATAAAATTCAACACTTGACAATTATAAGGTCATTCACACTTTATAATATTTATATATTACATTGTCTACTTTAATACAGATGTCAAACAAATGGCAATTTCACATTTACTTTATATTTAAATTGAGCATATCTAAAAATATTTTTTAATTTCAAAGACATTTTTTTTTTCAATTTAATAAAAATATAAAATTACTTACCTTCAACAGTTTGTTTTTATTTATAAAATTATTAAAGTGTATTTGTAAATCTCCCTTAGGACATGATGTAATAAGTTGACCCCTTTTTATACTAATTATATTAATGCATTGCTTTTAAAAAGATGAAAAATATATGCTTTATTTAATTTCATAATTGAATTATACAAGTTTTTTTTTTATTTGTTTTTTTTTTAATTTTCAATTAAAAGTGAAAGCCAGAGTGTTATTAAATGTCACATTTCTTCATAATGACGTACATGCATCCAAATGAAAACTATTGTTAAGTAGAAAAATGCCATTGTACGTGCATTTGTTAAGTTCACTTGGAAATTAAAAAAATATTTCAATTTTTTTCTAAGAATTTTAGACGGAAGAAAGCCATTTTAAAAATATTTTCTTTGTATAGAAAGAAAAAGCAATTTGACACAAAAAAAATTTTAAATTAATTTTTAAAGTTTTTCTTCTAATTACGCACATACAGACATATGAGAAAATTTTTATTTAAAATTAAAATTTTTATTAAAAAGTTTTTTTTATTGTTAAAATTTTACTTTGCTTTTCCAAGAAAATGCAGTTTGAATGGCTGATAATTGTCAAATCATATCAAAGTTGCTGTCATATTTGAAATATTTTTTCCATTTTCTTTTTCGCTAAATAAGTTCTTTATTATTTTCTAAAAGCTTTTAGAATCATTAACGAAATTAATTTTCAAATATTTTGCACATAAATTTAAAATATTGCACTCACAAAATATTTTTCAATAATTCTTATATTGCATTGAAATACTCGTGTTTTTTTGACTTGTTTTTGATTTTTAATTGAATTTTTGAAAATTTTATTTATTTGAAAGAGAAATTGAAAGCATTTTCACAAATTCGGAAACCCAAATTAGCTATTCTACTCCTTATTTAACTTGAGGCATATTTAAAATGTAAGATTTAGATTTCTTAATCCGTTCTCATAATGATTTCAACTAAGTGAAGACACACAATGTCTCCCCTACTTATCGTAATTTTGGTGTTTTAATTAATTATTTAATGGCTAAAAATTCATAATATTCAAAGAAAATTTTCTGTCATAACTTGTCATAAACTTGATGACATTAGCTGTCAAATTCAAAATTGATTCATACAATTTTTTTAGTACATGAATATTGCCTGTTTATTTTTTCTAAAGTTAGCGAACTTCTCTATGTATTACAACCAAATGGCACTTAGTTCGATATAAAGAAGTTTTACTGTTTCTTTTTCTGAAAATAAATTTAGTTGGAATCTTCTATTTTGACATTACTATAACTATGCTAAAATTTATAAACTCAAAATTTAATTTATTTAAAACAAAGAAATAAAAATTTAATAAAATGGTGTAAAAAATTCAAAGTAACACGATAACAAACAAAAAACAAAAAATTATTCATAATATTTTTCATCAAATTAAATAAAAATTCAATTATTGAAATTAATCTGCATCACCTGTCAACACCAAATGCTTTTCTTTCCATTCAATTTATTGTTTTCCATTGAAATTTTCCATAATTTTTTCTTTTTGATAAAAACAAGAATTGTATATTTTTTCAAAGAATTAAGAAAAAAATAAGTAAAAAAATAAATGCTTTTTAAATATAAAATTTATTTAATTTTAAAATTAGGTGCTCCTTTAAATTATTAAATACGTTTGTATAGGTGCAAACCTGTACATAAACACTATGTTTATTCTTGATACAAATATGAGAAGTTAAGGCGACTATTTGAAAAGAGAATGAAAAAGTCATTCTAATAAAAGAATGAATAGAAGTAAAAACAATAAAAATATTAAAAATCGAAAACTATAAAGTCATTATTGCAAAAAAATTTGATAGACATGTTAAGTTAATCGAATTTCGAATTGATATTGAAATAAACAGGGCAGCTGTTAAATGGTATAAGCCAGACGAAACTGAAACTTTATCACTTAATGTCTTCTGTGTTATCAATAGGAGGACATTAAGTAATATAGAATGGTGTATGTATACGGATTTTGTCGGTGTCGCATTTTACTAAAATAACTCAGGTCTCTCAATATTGCAACACGTCTCTGACTTTTGTTCGATTATTAGTTTTAAATTATCAAAATTATACAAATTTAGTTTTTAATAATCTGACCTGATAAATTTTTTTGTTATTACCGTAAATATTACCGTAAAATTTTACATAAATAAGATAAATAAATTTTTATATAGGATAAATTGCTGAAGTAATAATTTGAAAAGAAGTTCAATTTCCATGAGAGTTGACTAAAAATAGCGAGAAAAAAATAGAGTTGACCTTGTCAACTCTGTGATACCCGTACGAATTTGTTATCCTAAATATGGGGCAGACTATGACTTAAAGTTGCCGTATTACCATATTAATTTATGCAAAATTTCAGTGCTATGTATTTTCCAAATTCCGGTTGTGTTAAACTACTATTGAAGTTGTATGGCAG